CCCCACCCCCACCCCCGGCCAGTCTGGGAGCTTTGGGCAGGATCAAGGCTCGCATTCGGATGAAGTGGCTGTGGAGGGAGGTGGCTGTGGCCCGGCAGGCCTGATGCCTAGAAATGGGGGGTTCTGCCCTCTCCATCATGTAGAACATGAACCTGGGGCTCCCCAAGCCAGTGGCTCTACCTCCTCCCGAGTCCCACCCCTGACAAGCTCCTCGGTTTCCTGAACCAGCGCCTTCCCGTGGTCACCCTCAACCCTGACATTGGGTCTCTGGGCCCCAAGGAATGAGAACAGCTTTGGGGACAAATCAAGGATTCTGAGCAGAAAAGCATCAGCTTTAGATGTCAACATCTTCTGCTTAATTAAGTCCACTGCCTGCTGGGTGGCAGGACAACAGGAAGATCGTAGGCACAACGGGGACCCAACCTTGCTTACTCGCCTTCTGTAAGGACAGAGGGGCAGGGAGGGGGCGTCTGGGGAGCCCTTCAGACGCCAACTCCCCTATTCATTCCTTCAGCCCACACCTAGTGCAGTGCCACAGCCAGGCAGCAGGCAGTGGGTGTGCAGCAGGGTGCAGGCCAGGCCAAGGGCAGGTCTCCCTGCAGCCGGCACCACGAGGAGACAAGCGAGGCAAAACCAACAGGCAATGTCCCTCATCGAGTGGCCAGGGACGGTCACAGTGCTAAGGGGGGAAGTTAAACTGAGAACTGCAGGCAGGGCAGGAGGGAGCTACATGGATCAATGGGGACACGTGGCCTTTTAAAGAGTGTGCACAAAGGCCCTGAGGCAGGAGGGCACCTGTATGTCTGGGGCGGACACTGGAGGCCAGTGTGGCTGGAGCAGAGGGGACGAGAGAGACCAGACCAGATAGTCAGCAAGGTGCTGGCCACCACACCACACTGGGCCATGCAGGTCCAACTGCAAGGGACGTGGGGGGGACACAGAGGCCAGGTGGTGGCCTGCTCTGATTTAGCTGTGATACGAGATGCTCCCCCATGCGTAAGGTGCAACTCACTCAGGCTCATGTGTGGCCTCAGACTAAGCAAGGAGTCCTAGTGGCACAACCATTAAGCACTCGGCTGTGAACCTAGAGGTTGCAAGGTAAACCCATTCAGCCACTTCTAGGGACAAAGACCTGGAGACGGGCTCAGTAAGGATTAGAAAAACCCACCCCACTGCTGCGGAGTGGATGCCAACTCAGAGAGAGCCTCCAGGGCAGAGAAGTGCCAGGGGAGTTTCAAAGCCTCCTCTTTATGGGGAGCAGGTAATCCCATCTTTCTCCCACAGGGCGGCTGGTGGGCTTGAACCACTGGCCAGTTGGCTAGCAGCTGAGCACTTAACCACTGAGCAGCCAGGGTTCACTGTGAGTTAAAATCAGCTTGACGCAGCCCACCCAATAAGCCCCATGACCTGCCATGGTGGGAGGGGAGGGTCTGAGAAGGTCCATAAAGACCACTGGCCACTCCCTGTACCAGGTACCCCGTGAGTACTGGCCCGAGCGGTTACCAGTCCATCCCACAGCACCAGCCAGCTGGCTCTGCCATGCGGGCCCCTACCACATGCAACAGGGCCTATATCTGATGGCAGGTCCACCCACAATGTAGTCCCTGGTCCCTGACTCACCCAGCAGCACCCCCAAGCCTCTAGGGGAATGCCCTTCAGCCTCGCACACCAGCCCTGCACCCCAACTCTGCACCCTGGGCTCCCCAGAGTTGGCAGAGCCTAGGAAGGACTTCTGGAGACCCCTGAGGGGATGTGGCCTGGCTGACACACCAATGCGGGCTTCTAGCTTCCGGAACTGCAGGCAACAACTTTCTGTTCCTGTAAGCCACCCCCGAGGGATCCCTGGCCACTCGGCTGGCATCCCTGAACTCACTGGGCATGGAGAAGGGGGACAGGAAGGTAGCCTCGGGCTCCGGCTCCGGTGGCGGAGGCTGCTGCTGCTCCTGGTCCTGCTGCAGGCCCTCGGCGTTCTCCGTGGGCACATTCCCGTTCTCCATGTTCTCATGCCGCCCGTTTTGAAGCGGCTTGCCGTTCGCACCGTTGGCGGAGTTGATCAGCCTCTGCCGCTGCGTGGACAGGAGACAGGACAGGTGCTGAATATGGTGCGATGCATCACACACGTACACACACACACACACACACACACACACACACACACGCGCCAAAACGCTTCTGCGGTATCATCTCTGTGGATTGGTGTGCCTGAGAATCGGCTTAGGCAAAAGGTCTTGGAATCCACTCAGTGACCAGGAAGCCTTTGGGGTTGGTCAGAATCCCGGCCTCTGTTCTCAGTGTCAACGCAACATGCCATCACCCGGGTGTCCCAGACGCTACCTCTCAGTGTGGGCACTGGGAGACAGTCATAGAAAAAGCCCCAGATGGCTTTTTTGCTTAAGTTTTTGAGAGATCCCCCACAAAAAACTACAAAAGTACCCTTATATTGGACAAATATGATACGATTCTTAGAAGAATGATCTAGACGAGGCAAGTGCACCTAGATCAAGGCTTATTAGTGGCTGTCAGAGGTGGGGAGAGGGAGCCCTGGAGGTGCTGATGGGTATGCGCTCAACGGGGAACCTCAAGGTGGGCAGTTCAAAGGCACCAGCTGCTCTGTGGAAGAAAGATGAGGCTGCCTGCTCCCCAAAGTTTTACAGCTTCGGAAACCCCAGAGCACAGGTCTACCCTGTCCTATGGGGTTGGTGTGAGTCAGGACTGACCCAATGGAAGTGGGCAACTGTGTTTTTAATTTTAACCTGCACTTTTCTTATAACTAACTGCGATGAGCATCTTACTGGGCCACGTGCATGGTCTCTTCTGGTCAGGTCTTTGGTCACGTCCACTGAGGGTGCTTTCTGAGGTGAGTGTCCACGATCAAGTGCACAGCACCCCTTCCTCTGGCTTTGCCTTTTCCTCCCCGGCATCGTGGCTACTGATGGAGGCTGTCTCCTTAGCTCCAAGCAGAGGAGTGGGGCTCCCGGGTCTCCACTCAACCAGGAGAGAAGCCCTGTAGTGCTGTTGGGTAAGCACTGGCCTGCTGACTGCAAGGTCTGCGGTTCAAGCTCACGAGGAGGCCAGGCGCCTTGGAAACCCTATGTAGGGTCGCTCTGAGTCAGAATCAACTTGATGGCAGTGTGTTTGATTTTGGTGGCTTAACCAGTGGTTATGGCTGAAAACTGAAAGACTGGCAAGGTGAACCCCAGCTGCTCCACAGCAGAAAGGCATGGCACTCTGCTTCCATAAAGATCCAAACAAACAAACAAACAAACAAACAAAACTCCAATCAACCCAATTACCCTGGAGTCATTCTCACTCACAGCCACCTCTAGAGCAGAATAGAATAGCTCCCTAGGGTTTTTGAGGCCTTAATTCTATATGTGAGGAGTCAGCCTCACCTTTCTTTCCCCAGGGCAGCTAGTGGATTTGAACTACTGACCTTGTGGTTAACAGCCCAACACACAACTCACTGCACCATAAGCGCCCCCTTCCATAAAGACTACGGCCTTGCTAAGCCTAGCCCTTCCCGTCTGTCTGCCAGGGTTGCTATGGGTTGGGGTTTGGCTTAGTTTTATAAATGAGGGAAGAGATAGCGGCAGCATTTCTAGAAACCAACAGGTTTCCATCCCCTCAGCCCCCAAGTGTAGCCTTGACACAGGTCACCTTTTTCTGGTCTCAGGAATATTTACAGCCTTGTGGGTAATGACCCTTATATAATGGCCACATAGTTCCCTTCCAATTACTTCAGCAGGAGGCCAAGGGACAGCAATGTGTCCCTAAGGCAATCCCCAGTAATGGCCACCCCAAAGCCTGCCCTTGTAGTCATGGACTATTCATAAAAAGACAAGAGAAAAAGGAAGAAGTCATTACCACTTAAAGGGGAAGCACTTAAAGGGGAATTGCCTTCCTGTCAGTCCCAGGGGGACCCCTGACCCAGGAAGTCCAGGGAGGGGTGGAAATGAAGACTCTTTCCTCCAGAGAGAGGGCAGCACTCAGAGCACGCCATGGTCAGGAGTGACCTTGGCTGCTGACAGGGCTAAGGGCGAGGGCAGCGCTGCCCATCACCATCTAGCTGCTCCAGGCCAGAACGGAAAGAAGATCAGGTTTGATAGCAACTTCACAGTGGCGAGTGTGGAAAGGAGGGAGATCTTAACAACTCTCCCTCAACAGGAACCCACAGAGGATTATGGTCCTTGGGGAAAAGACGAGGCGAGCGAGCTGAGGTTGTACTGTCAGAGGCCTAGGCTGCAACGAGGCCGGTTTTAATCACCCCCGTGCATGTGAATGTTGGATGATGAAGAAGGAAGACCAAAGAATAATCCACGTATTTGAATCATGACGTTGCTGAAGAATATCTGGACCCAGCTCTGAACCCCTTTGAGACTGTAAACCTGAAACTTCTCCTGTCATTCATTATAAAACACTTGGCTTATCAAAAAACAAGAATATTGAAAGCATTGCCCAGAAACCCCTGTGGGTCAGGTCTGCTTGGTCATGTGGGGTGGATGTAAGTTAAAGATCTACTCAACCACACCTGCCAACACAAGTACCCACCTAGTACCTCGTACCTTGCCCCCCCCAACCAAAACCAAACTCATGACCTTGAGTCAATGGGACTCATGGCAGCACATAGGACCAGGAAGAACTGGCCCTGTGAGTTTCCCAGATGGTAACCCTTTATGGGAGTAGAACGTCCCATCTTGTGGTTTTGAACTACTGACCTTGCAGTTAGCAGCCTAACCCAGAACCTGTACTCCACCAGGACCCCACCTAGAACCCACCCTGCTACTGACCCCTCATTGGGCTGCTCTACCATCTTTGATGACAAGAGCACCTGCCTTGGGGGTTCACCCGGGGGTGCAATGTAGCCTCACACACTTCTCTGACTTGTTCTAAAAGTAAGACAATGGAAGAGAGCTTCGGGGTCTCAGAAACAGCTTCCGGACTGGGCGTTTTGTAGGGTTGCTTCTCACCCCCAATCTGTGGTGACTTCCCTTGAAGAACACTGCTTGGCCTGCAGCCATGAGCCGGTCAGGTCTGCATCCCTGACATTGCACGAGCTGGATACATCCTGACTGACAGGTTAAGAGGGAGCAACAGAGCCCGGAGAGGTGAAGGGAGTCAGTGGCCAATAAAGATGGAAACTCAGACCTCCTCAGATCTGAGTACAGCACTCTGGCTCCTCAGGTTGCCTTCCGGGCGGATAGATTCCAACCGGCCCAAGGTGAGCTTTCCCCAGCTTCTTAAAACACAGGGAAAGGGCAAACCAGCATTCTACTGGCTCACCCACATCCCAAGAAGTCCTTGGCCACTCAGGCCACAGAAATCTATAGCACTGTAAAGCCAGCTCCCCGAAGATTTCATAACTGTTCAACACCCCACCCCTGGCTTTCAGTCAACACGGTAATTGTGTTCCTGAAAATCAGCCAGGACTCAGGAAAATGTCATTGATTCAAATGTTACTGAGTTGGAACAAAATGATTCCGGATGATGCAAAGCTTGGAACATTGTTTCCCTTACTTAATAATCCCGCCCCCCAAGGGCAACTTATATATGAAATCAAAGTAAAAATATTCAAAATAAAGAACATTTGAGCCCCGAGAACAGCCGTTCTTATATATAATCAATGTGTTCACATCTCAATCCCATCAGCTCAATTCCACTAAGTACCAATTATTAGCTATCAATCAACCGCTTTAGTCCTCCAGTAACTACCCAAGGGGCCCTGGCGGCACCAAGGCTAAGCGCTCAGCTTCAACGAGCCTGCTATCTCTGATGCACTGTTTGTTCTTTAAATAATAGTCAATTATCTAGTGGTTATTTTTCAAATGAGAATGAGACACAACCAAATTTAAGGAGAGTGAGAGGCTATCGAGTGAAAATCAAGTTTCTCCCCCGAGGCAATCATGTTCACCGGCCTTGGGTTTCCTTCTAGAATGTTCCATCTGTAGAGAAGAGTTGTGCATTCATTTAGTCTTGCCCTAGACAGCGTTTTAAAGACACAATGCACATTTGAGGCTAGCCTTTCCCCAACTAGTTTGATCCACATTCACTGTCACCGAGTCGATTCTGGTCCATGGTGCCTCCAAAGGACAAGGCAGAACTGCCGCTGTGGGTTTCTGAGACTGGAACTCTTGATGGGAGTGGAAAGCCTCGCTTGCTCCCGTGGAGGGTCGGGTGGTTTCGAACTGTTGACCTTGTGGTTAGCAGTCCAACACATAACCCACGACACCAGCAGAGCTCCTGGGGTTCCATTCTCATACCTAAAAGAGTGCTCAGAGCCACACTGCAGGCAGGAGATTTGATTGCTGCCCGAGTTAAGATCCCACCTGAGTGGACCACCTGCGAACAGTGGTTGACACGGAGGTTTCCGGAGGAACTCAAACCAGACCGAACCAGTTGTGACTGAGTCAGGCCTCCCTAGTGGCCACCCTATAGCACAGCATAGACCTGCCCATGGAGATTACAAGGCCCTTGTCTTCACAGAAGTAGGGAGCCAAGGCTTCTTCTGCAGAGCGGTTGGTGGGTTTGAACCTCTAACCTTTGGCCATCAGCATAGTGAAGAACCACTGCGGCATTAAGGGTCCCTAGAATAGGTGCTGCCTGGCGGCAGACTCCCTGGGAGCCCATTGCCAAGAAGAGCCCTTACACTTAGGACTTGGCCTCAATGTCAGAACGATCCAAGGCCCTAGGTTTTTCTTACCTCTTAAGCAAACGTACCTTGTTCATTATTATTATTTTAATTTTTAACGGTTAATTCTCTTTTATTTTAAAGCTTCATTGACATGCCATTCCCATGACCATACAATTCAATGGTTTCACCATATTAAAAAGGGTTGTGTGATCATCACCACAATCAATTTCAGAACATTTTCTTCTTCCTTCAGATTTTTATTAGATTATTTCTTGATTATTATTAGCACTCCTTTTCCCCCC